GTGTGCGTCTGTATGTGTGTGCGTGTGTGTGTGTACGAGCTGCGAGTTGCGTCGGTTGTGTCGAAGTACTGGTCAGAACTGATGACAGATTATGTCATATGGAAACACAAAAAGACTTAGGATCTCATCTCACAGAATCACTACTCCATTGCAAAAGGGACAGAGATAAATAAATAGAAGATCTATATCTCTTTTTTTTTTTTTTTTTTTTTAAGCTCGACATGATACAACATGATTGACCCCAGCAAATACAAACAAGGACAGTGCAGGAGTCATGCACCGCAGTGACTGCAAGAAAAAGTGATCCCCCTACTTTGAAAAATCCATCTGAGTGAATTAGTTGTGACAGTTTGTTAAACAATCCTCGTGGCAGCTTACCTTGGACAGTGCATGCGCTCACCAGCAGAACAAGCAGAACATGATGTGTTTCCATGGTGGCCCAGAAGAGGAAATGGAGGAGAAATGTGGATCTTAGTGGGGTGGCTTTTTTATAACATTTGTGGAAACGTGTGTTCATAGAATGACTCCTCCTACCAGATTACAAACATTAACATGGCATGCTTGAAAATGTAATGTAAAGGTTATTGAATGTAGAAATGAATACCCTTCACACTATATATTGTTTTGGGTTATGTTTTGTAGGTCTGTGAAAAAAATACACAGATAAAAGTATTTAAAGTATTTTTGCAACACGTTGTGCAATAGACTTGTAGTTGAGGAATGTTGGTTGAATCGGCAAATGAGTAACACCCAGATGCAGCTGGTGTTCGCGTGACCTTGAAGTGAACACACAGATGGAAAACAGATGTGGACATCCCCTTTACTATGAAACAAGATTTGCAGTCTTTACAATGATTTGTATTTTACACAAAGAACAGTGGAACATCCACGGCCTATTGCTTTTCTTCCTTACACTGGTCGATTTCCATTTTTTTCCTGTATCAAAAAGGGTGCCTCTCAGAGCAGTGACACAATCTAACAGTAATATCAAGGTCGGTTAAAAACCCAAAATACATAAATGTGGAAAAACAAGACTAAGAGGAGTGTGGAATCTGGGAGGCGCTACAGAGTCCCTCAGAATGCATTTAAGAAATCCATTGTCATTAGTGCTATTAGTGTTCTTAACTCTGCACTATGACTGTTTGGATGTGGACCATAGCTCTGACAGGAACTGCTCTTACAGTTTTTCTCAGCTGCTAAAACACAAAAGCCAATTCTCTCAACCAAATGATCGGTTGTCTAAACACATTTACTAAATCTAACCACCATTTGCCAATACCTGTACCATAAACACATTGCACATGAAGACACAATTCACAAAGGACAATCCTCGTTCTCATAAATGCAAACACATTTTTCCTTGCTAAAACACAAGTTGCAAAAGAACTCTGCTCATATTTTCAAATAAAAGCTCATGTAATGCAAAATGCTTGCCACAGTCAGCAATATTTGAACACAATAAAAATACCAGGCATCATTCATTACACATAATGCCTCAAAATTGAAGACAGCTTTTGCAAATGCTGTGACCATATGTATAAAAGCAAGTTCAGAGTGCACAGTTAGCTTCCAAGCCAACACAATGGATAAAGGCAGAGTCAGGGGAAGAGGAATTCGAGCCAGAGGAGGGAGAGGAGCTGGCCATGGAGTGAGAAGCGCTGGCCACGGAAGAAAAGCAGCAGGCCAACGAGTAAAAGGAGCAGGCCAATGATGAAGAGGAGAAGGCCAACAAGGGGGAGAAGGTCGAGGAGGAAGAGCAAGAGTTAGAGTACTCTTTGTGGTGCCATGGGCTTGTCCACACATGCTGTCGTTGGATCTTACAACACCCAATGTCTCTTCACTAAAGAGACATCCTCTTGGACGGCCAACGACACCATCCTGGGCTCTCACATCCCATATATGTGAACACTTGGGACAATGTCCGCTTCCACAGAACAAACCAAATCAGAGAGTGGTTCACCACCAACAGTAACCAGATTTTAAATGTCTGTCTGCCACCCTACTCCCCTTTATGGAAACCCTATCGAGGATTTTTTCTCTTCGTGGAAATGGAAGGTTTATGACAGACAACCATACACGACAGATAACCTCCTAAGGGCAATGGATCTGGCCTGTGTTGACATCCCAGTGGGGGCCTTCCAAGGATGAAGTCGCCATTCCAGGGTGCTTTTTCCCCGCGGTGCCTGGCAAGAGAGAATAAAGCGTGTGATGTGGATGAAGTGGTGTGGTCTGATGCAGCTCAGGCACATGATGCTGCACAATGATTGCGGTGTGAATATGGTAAACAAAAATACACCTCGCTCTCTGAACATATTTTCAAGAGTACTGTTGTGAGCAATTGATTCTGTTTTTTGCATTGAATTGTGTTACAGTAATATACATGCAGTACTTTCTATAGATGTATACTCTTCATATGAAATTCACAAATCTAAACAAAAAAAAATATCTAAGAAGATCTGTTCCTGTAAAGTTTCTAAAAATATGCTTTGGCAGTTATGAAACAAAGAAACTTCTCACAAATTGAGCATTGTGTTTTTAATTGTTTTTCCGTAGGGTATAACGATGTGTATATTGTTTGAGTTTTGAAGTGAGAAGGTGTGGTTGTGTTCATGTAGCTTTAGAAAAGGGTGTTGTGCTGAGACATGGTGGAAACTTTTGTGAAATGTCTTTTAGCATTTGAGAAAAACTTCTAGAATTAATGGTCAGTGTTAATGATGTACCCAACTGTATTGCATTTTAGTGGTAGACAATAGGACTTATTCTATTATTCTATTCTAAATTCATATGTTTAAAGTAAAGCTGTACAACAGTTGTATTTATATTATTTATTTTTGTTTGTGAGCAAATTGGTGCATTGTCTGTGTCCCGGAATGAACTGTTTGACATTCTAAAAACGTCCTATGCCTCGAGTCAGGTCTCTACTACGGTAGGCAGTGATTTCCTTTTGACAAACTCAAAAGCTTGTGTATCTAGTTTATTTATCTGTTTCGTTCATGTTCGGGGCCGATGTGGCAGTTGCTCATCATGACATGCATGTTTGCTTGCGTGCGTGTGCATGAGTGCGCGTGCGTGCGTGTCTATATGCGTGCACGTGCGGTAACTGGTCGATCGCAGACGGTTGTTGCTACAGTAGTAAAGTAGAAAAAAAGTTGGGCACGCGGATACTATTGACATTGGTCTACAGTCCCTTAGCCAATCAGGATGCAGAACTCAATGCACTGTAAAAAATATATATATATATATAAAAAATGCACAAAAAAAATCCACAGCGAAGGCGTGAAACTGAGGGTTCACTGTTTCAATAAAGAGAATTAAAGACAAACTTTTGATAGCCATAACATAGAGAAATAGATGTAGGCCGAGCCTCCTCACCCACAGATTCGCTGGATTGATGTTTTTTTCATAAAAAAAGAAAAATATACGCTAAACCTTTTGTTGTTAATCTGGGGTCTGTTTCACAAAGGAGGTTTTGTGATGGATTCACTATATGTCACACACGTTCATTGAATATATTACGTCAGCATGTGCAGTGAGTGCGTGTGTAATAAAACGTATATTATTGGCGATGGAATGAGGAACACGTGGATGTATCCTTGTTATTTTGGTTTTAGTGTTGTCTCCAAAAAATGGAATGCGCTTTACACTTTGCCCAGACTAGCTCTGCAAGCGCACAGCTCAAAGACCCATTGTTATAATGTTCTCTGCAGTGCAGCTACTGAGTAATTTACGACTAGGGCAATGCTGGCTTTGTGTGGCCATCAATTGAGATGTAAATAATGTTGAAATGTTTCGCGTTCACCGGGATGCCAATTTATTTTTGCGTCAGCTATTTGTCAGAGCAATTCCAAACGCACGCGTCTGAAAAAAACCTCCCCCTTGGCACGTCTCCACTGCAAGCTGATTGGTTGGCAATCAATCGGGGGCGGGGACAAGACAGTAAATAGGAAGTGAAGCACTGGTGACGAGAAGATGCGAGTACTGTAAACTTTAAATATTATGTGGGATTTGACTTCGCATTTTGTTTGTATTTTTAGCAAGAGCAACGTCACAGAACATGCCAACAATACGGAAACGTCGGGAGAACGACTTAACTTTTCGAACAAATACACAAAATAGGTTAGTTCGATTGAAGCGTTGTCCAAACGGTGCTGATAGTGAACACCGCGTCGTAGCTAGCTTCAGTATCGTGTAGGGGGGTCTAAAAGAGAACAGAGGCTATTTGTTTGCACCGAAGTCAGTTAATGACGTGTGCTGCTTGTGTTCCCTCGTGTCATCACTGCGGTTCTAGCTACAGCGCAGCCAAGCGAAGAGTTAACTGGTTCATAGCCTGCACTACAGGACAGAGAACGTATGCTGTTTTTTGAGTGGCGGCGCTTCCGCTATCTCAATTTAAACCATTGACAAATCGTGGTGTCTATGACTGCTTCATTGATTTCTTGAACAGTTCTGCTTATAGTCTGTGCAGTTTGAGAAGATATTTTATTTGTATTTTTTTGATTTTTACAATAAAAGTAATGTCCTTGCACAAACACGGAAGTTGAGTAGTGTATGAGTTCTGTTTTCTTGGTATTGACAGCTGTCAAGTTCCTTCAGCATGAGTGCATTATTGCGGGTTTGTTCTCTTGTATTAGGACATGGACTTGATAACGTTCCATTTGTTAGTGCTTACAAATGGTCGTGTTCCTTTTGCATGAGCAGATAATTCAGCTATTTTTGTCTGCTGTCAATGACTGTTTTAACTCAACATACAAAATCATTAAACGTCAAACTGCGCTGGTCGATAGCTACACGAAGGGCATTTGAAAGACTACATAAATGGTTATGTAACGCATTCATCAAAAACATCATCCTCCAGTGCTTATATGTCATTTGGGGGAAACATTCCAACATATCCTAATCAGTTAATGTGTTTATGCGCATTGAAAAACCTGGTCTGCATTATATTCTTCAATTTTGACTGCCATCAATATGATCAGTTATTGTCCAAACACTTTTCAATAAACACACACACACACACACACACACTATGTGTGTATATCTATATCTCTATCTATCGATCTATATCGATATATAAATTGGCCAATGATGGGCAAGCTAAAAATGTAACACGTTATATAATTCAGTCTGCCCTGTTCTTCAAGCGTTGTTCCCATCGGTCTTCTCTCAGTTCAGTTTGACTCAAGCCATTTCAATCTCTTTAAAATACATTTAGCCCTAAATGTATTCTCTATATATTTTATACAGCTAACACAGTCTTATCAATGCGTGTCACAACAATGCACTCAGGATAGACTAAACGCGAAACATTGATTGGGGTAAAACTGATGCAAAAGTTGAGGTTAACCCATTTTTTACTTAATGTCAAATGGTCACATGCACCAGACGACATAAAAATATTAAGTACCGAAACACTTACATTTTGTGTTAGTATATTTGTATTTTTTTATTCCACATTTTTACAGATGTGAATCATATGCCAAAGATCCAATAAATGTGTATCTGTGCTAGA